ACGCTTAGGCGATCATCTGTCTTTTGATACATGACTGACGAGGCAGATTTGTTTTTCTCGCAGTAGGTTGTCATTTCTTTCTGCTTTAGACCAGTTGCCATCCAAGGCTATAGAACTCGGACTGTCCTGCTATTTTCCCAAAGCTGGTGGGGGAGAAGGGATTCATATCTTTCCCAGGGGTCAGTCAGTCAATTATGTGCCATGCGTGATACACGCTTAGGCGATCATGTATCTTTCGATACATGACTGACGAGGCAGTTTTTTTCCAGCAGTAAGATGCTATTTCTTTCTGCGTTACACTTGTTGCCATCCAAGCCTATAGAACCCGGTCTGTCCTGCTATTTACCCATAGCTGGGGGGAGAAGAAGAAGATTCATACCTTTCCCAAGAGTCACTCAGTTATGTTTCATGTGTGATACACGCTTAGGCGATCATCTATATTTCGATACATGACTGACGAGGCAGATTTGTTTTCCCGCAGTAGGTTGCCTTTTCTGTACAACCAGTTGCTATCCAAGGCTATAGAACTGCTATTTACGCATATCTGGGCGGAAGAAAATAGGATTTATACCTTTCCCAAGGTTATTAGCACCTAAGTGAATGTAATGGATTCGACTGGAATTCGAACTCCGCTCTCCGATTCCTCAATCCGAGCCGCTATCCATTACTCCCCCGTGCCTCCAATAGTGGCATAGACAATCCATAAAGCGGTTCTCACGAGAGTCTCTGATGTCAATAAAAATGAGACGAGATTCAAGGAGAGTCAAAATGGCCGTTATTTGGACACACCTTATTACTTTTTATAATGACGGCTGCAGGAATACAAACGAAAATAAAGCGGCGTCAGGAGGCAATTTCTTTTTATGGTGCCTGGCTATAATAGCACCGACTGGAAGCTTACAGGATCGGTAAAAGCAAGAGAGAGAAGGATTTACGTGGTTGTCAAAATGGCGGAGAATAGCATCAGATTTGGAACAAGAATATCGCCGAGTCACTTTTAAAATCGATTTTCATGGCGACTGGGGTACTAATTTCGCTAATTGGAGTCGTTAACAAAAGAACATTGTTCAAATCAATAATTTAAATGATGCTGCATTCTTTCCCGTCTAATTCAATTATTTTTTTCATGTTTTAGCAAAATTGTACGTGGGCCGTTGTCAATAAACGATACATGTTTAGGATCATTGAAAAAAGTCTATGAGAGCGGGAGAATATGAATTCAAATAAACTTCCTCTTTTAGGAGCTGTTCTCTTCAGGTTATAGACGATTATGGCTCTCCACAACTTCCTGTCCATTTAGCTCTAAGCAATGTTTATATCCTTATTATAACTCTTCGCTGTTCTGCCATCGAGTTACGTAAGTTGATTACGTTGGTTATTCACTGTTTTCCGTCGGCCATCTTACCTTTGAGTGTTAAATTCTCCTAGCCCTCTTTTCTCATTATGTCACTCTGAAATTTCAACTGACTCTTACTAATTCGAAGTAAAAATGCCCTTTCTGTTTACATTTTCTTAACCCATGGTGCCGTGATCTCCTGATGAGTACGATATTAAGCGTTGAAAACATCAAAGGGTTAAAACTTTCTAGTTGTTTCCATGCTCCGTCCTGATATTCCATGGCTTAAATCGATATACACCTGACGAAAGCCGGAGAGTAAAACGGCTGAAACGTTGTGACAAAAACAACAAAGATGAAGATAATACATGTTTTGTGTTGGGGAATTAAGTCGGGTAAAAAATCCCGGTTATTATCACAAATTTTCTTATCACTTGGTAGTTTAATATTTCCTAAGACCCTAACAGGTGCTCCCACTCCGGATCAGGGTGAACCTGGGGACAAGGGCAATTAAGAGTTGGTTTCACATTTCTCAAAATCTTATTGCTGCCAGAGATAGTTTATTATTATGCTCAGAACGACTTTTATATATATAATATATATATATATATATATATATAAAGAAATATAGTCTCAAAATGTGCTATATTTATAGGATAAAGTGCTCGATATCAGAGATAGAGCGTGTGTATATATAAAAGTGAACATAGAAGTCAACACTTAGAGGCGACAGTCTGTTTCATGCTAGATGCAATTGTCGGGCCGCCTGACGATTGTATCTGGCATGAAACAGACTATATATATATATATATATTGTTGGATTGATGTGAGTTTAAACTCACATCAATCCAACTAAATATGTTAGCTCTATCACTGATATTGAGAGGTTTCCAATAAGTACCGCGCATATATAATATATCAATAATATATATAAAAAATTGCATATATATATATATATATATATATATATATATATATATATATGGTAATGATACAATATCGTAATCCGTATGGAATTTCTAGGAGGATATAGATTCAGGAAGAGCTCTATGTCAAAATGTCACCCTGCCTGTCTTGTGTTTTACCCAAGGGTCAGTCAGTTAAGTGCCATACGTGATACACGCTTAGGCGATCATCTGTCTTTTGATACATGACTGACGAGGCAGATTTGTTTTTTCTCAGTAGGTTGTCATTTCTTTCTGCTTTAGACCAGTTGCCATCCAAGGCTATAGAACTCGGACTGTCCTGCTATTTTCCCAAAGCTGGTGGGGAGAAGGATTCATATCTTCCCAGGGGTCAGTCAGTCAATTATGTGCCATGCGTGATACACGCTTAGGCGATCATGTATCTTTCGATACATGACTGACGAGGCAGTTTTTTTCCAGCAGTAAGATGCTATTTCTTTCTGCGTTACATTTTGTTGCCATCCAAGCCTATAGAACCCGGTCTGTCCTGCTATTTACCCATAGCTGGGGGGAGAAGAAGAAGATTCATACCTTTCCCAAGAGTCACTCAGTTATGTTTCATGTGTGATACACGCTTAGGCGATCATCTATATTTCGATACATGACTGACGAGGCAGATTTGTTTTCCCGCAGTAGGTTGCCTTTTCTGTACAACCAGTTGCTATCCAAGGCTATAGAACTGCTATTTACGCATATCTGGGCGGAAGAAAATACGATTTATACCTTTCCCAAGGTTATTAGCACCTAAGTGAATGTAATGGATTCGACTGGAATTCGAACTCCGCTCTCCGATTCCTGAAAGAGCCTGGAAACAGGAATACTTCAATCAGAGAACATCCTTCCAAAGTTGTTACGCGAATTGTACTGCGCTATCGAAGTTCATTTGGTACAATAGCTCTCCTGTCATTGGTTGGAAGATTATAAAAATAAAAAAAAAACAAAAAAAAAAACAAAAAACAGGTGGACTTATTGCCTGGATGTGTAGATTGTATCGAATAGGAAAATAAATCATAATTATTTTCACTGACAAAAACAAACCACTCACTATAGGAAATCCAAGTTTACTAATATAGGCATGAAAATAAACACTCACAGAGTTTGAAAGCTACCATTATATAGATTCAGAGTGTGTCCTTTAAGACCTGCAGGTCGTTGGGGTAAAAAAATTAGAACGTCGCCGGAGACCACAAGTTAGTCGATAGATAGTTCTTTTTTTTTACATTTTCTGGTTCATGGTGACCAAAAAGGGCTGGAACTGACAGTCACGTAACACCAAAAATGCATCTTACTTCTCACTGACGGAATGCGAAGGGTATGCGCATAATTTGCTACATGGAAGTGGTATGGGCGGCCCAAGCTGTAAAGGTTATGACTGGACGGGTTAACTATTTTTTTTATATAGGGGCAACTGAATGAGCATGGAAACATGAATACTTCAATCAGAGAACATCCTTCCAAACATGTTACTAGAATTGTACTGCACTATCAAATTTCATTTGGTACAATAGCTCTCATATCATTGGTAGGAAGATTATAAAAATAACACAAATAAAAAAAACACAGGAGGACTTATTGCCTGGATGTGTAGATTGTATCGAATAGGAAAATAAATCATAATTATTTTCGCTGACAAAAACAAACCACTCACTATAGGAAATCCAAGTTTACTAATATAGGCATGAAAATAAACACTCACAGAGTTTGAAAGCTACCAGCTAAATAGGAATCCATTTTATAGATTCAGACTGTGTCCTTTAAGACCTGCAGGTCGTTGGGGTAAAAAGTGTTGAGAGTAGCCGGTTCCAGTAAAGTCAAAATCAGAGATAGTTTAATGTTAGGCACAGAACGAGTCTAAGAGTTGTTTGATAATTGGCAACAAGTCTTTACAAATAATGGTGAATATATACTTGAATAAAATACAATTATACATTATTTTCTGAAGAACGGAACATATCCATGGCCCCGCCTTATAGTATAGATGCTAAAACGGGAATAATGAGTAGAAAATGCAAAATAAAGTTTCCTCGAATCACTTATGTTTCGAGACAAGGAGTATGCTGATCCCTTACAGTTTTTCCACATTTGTTTTCGTCTATATCTGTTGATTCCTTGTTTTTCTTCTTTTCTTTTCTTTTCTTTTCTTTTCTTTTATTTATTTTTCTTATTTATTTATATATTTTTACTTTTTGAAAGATCGATCTGAAAGCAAGGTTACATGAAGTCGATATATTCAATCAAGGGTTTACATTTCAATATGACAAATTTATCCGGATTCTGTATTTAGAGGGAATTGACAACAGGTTTATGATCGATATATTGGTTTATTAATTAAATTCTTGTCTTTCTACAAGGATGCGTACTGCTTCTTTACTTATGTGCGTACAGGCAGACTTTGGTATATATATATATATATATATATATATATATATATATATATTATAGTCTATGAATTTACTTAAAAAATTACAACAACCGGTTTTTGGACTTATATAAATAGTTTTCTAGACTTGAATAACCTAGAAACTCAGGGCGCGAAAAGAGAACCTAGTAGAAAGTTGAATCAAGACATAAAGAGGGGAAAGAAAAAGTAGGGGGAGAGGACGAAATATAAGGAAATAGAGGGAGTGAAGACTGAAAAAGAAGGAGAAAGCGGAGGAAGAAAAAGAAGAGGTGAATAGAACAGAAAGAAGAAATAATCATTAGCTGGGGTGGGGAAGAGATGCAGAGAGGAGGAAGGGGAAATACTGAAAGAAGAAGAAGAAGAAGAAGAAGAAGAAGAAGAAGAAAGAGGAGGAGATAGAAGATGAAGGGTATGGACAGGGAGGAGGAGGTGGAGGAAGAAGAAAAAGAAGAAGAAAGAGGAGGAGGAGGAGGAGGAAGATGAAAATGAAAAATAGTAGGAGGCGAAAGATAGGGAGAGGGAGGAGGGGGAGGAAGAAGAAGATAAGAAGAAGGAGAGAAGAAGAAGAAGAAGAAGAAGAAGAAGAAGAAGAAGAAAGAGGAGGAGATGAAAGATGAAGGTATGAAGAGGGAGTTGGAGGAAAAAGAAAAAGAAAGAGGAGGAGGCGGAAGAAGATGAAGAAGAAAAAAGTGGAGGAGGCGGAAGAAGACGAAGGATAGGGAGATGGAGGAGGGGAAGGAAGAAGAAGATAAGAAGAAGGAGAGGAGAAGGAAAAGAAGAAGAAGAAGAAGAAGAAAGAGGAGGAGATGAAAGATGAAGGTATGGAGAGGGAGGAGGAGGTGGAGGAAAAAGAAAAAGAAGAAGAAAGAGGAGGAGGCGGAAGAAGATAAAGGATAGGGAGATGGAGGAGGGGGAGGAAGAAGAAGATAAGAAGAAGGAAAGGAGAAGGAAAAGAAGAAGAAGAAGAAGAAGGAAGAGGAGGAGATGAAAGATGAAGGTATGGAGAGGGAGGAAGAGGTGGAGGAAAAAGAAAAAGAAGAAAGAGGAGGAGGCGGAAGAAGATGAAGAAGAAAAAAGAGGAGGAGGCGGAAGAAGACGAAGGATAGGGAGATGGAGGAGGGGGAGGAAGAAGAAGATAATAATAATAATAATAAGAAGAAGAAGAAGAAGAAGAAGAAGAAGAAGTGCTAAGAGTAGAAAAAAGAGCTGAATTTATTTCTTTATCAATGATAGAGCTAACATATTTAGTTGCGTTAATATGAGTTTGTGATCGTGGGTTTTACGCCCTTTGCGATCGTCAGAGTTTGTCTCAATGGGTGTAGGGTTTCGATCTCGGATAGAGGCAATTGGATGTCTAGCCACAGTGATGTGATGTGAAACAGTGAAAGACTCTGTCTGTGGATTACAATATATACATGCTCCTAAAAAAAAAAATATTTCGTTTGAGCTCTCAGGGAGAAAAGTGAATTTTATACAGTGACTACTAATGCTCCTGATGCAAGACACTTCTTCAATATGCATCGAGTTCTCCAGTCACTGGCGTGTTTATCTAAAAATAAATGTCTAAATTCACATTCATCCCTGCCTTGCGCCAACGGCTTAGCGGTTGAGTCGGGTTTCAATCCCGGCTTGAAGAAATCGGATGTCGAACCACACTCATGAGCGAAAGAGTCTGTCAATCAATCTATCTATCTGACACGCAGGCATATATATATATATATATATATATATATATATATATATATATATATATATATATATATATTTATGACACGTAGGCATCAGGCATTATATATATATATATATATATAATGGACTTTCCTGTCGGTTTCGACGTATGGGCATCTGGCAAGTTAACCAATTGATAGTTATGAAATTTTATGCGATAATCTTAAGTGGCGCTTAAGACCCGCTAGTGATTTACAAAGGAGGCCACATACGGAGCAAAAGTGAGGATTGTGGGATGAGATCATTACTAGATTGACCAACCTTTTAGATCGTGCTCTCGATTCTTGAAGACGATTCAAGCTGACTAAAAACTGCTGAGCCCACTAAAACACGTTGATCTCCATTCTACCCACTCCAAGCCTAAGCGCTCAAGGGTGTTATGTGGTATATTGACTGCTGACAAGTTGCTTTTCAGCTTGTCTTTGTATCTTAACCATGGGCGTCCTTCATTCCTGTAGCCCTGATCTAACTGGTCGTACATTAGGATCTTGGGTATCTAGTCATCAGACATTCTCAAGACATGACCAGTCCAGCATAACTGAGACTGTATGATAAAAGTCTCGATTTCTCCAATATTACACCTGTTAAACAGGTCTAATTTAGATGTCCTATCTTGAAAGTTAACTCCACAGATGGCACGAAGAGAGCTTTTATAAAAAAAACAAACAGCTGGCGTATATGGTACCTGTATGGACTCCAAACATCGATGTATGCAGACACATATACATACTTGGTCGTCCGTCGGGACTCATACATATATAAACATATGTGGGCAGTTTCGGCTATGACACATGTATGTATACGGGTGGTGTTATGTCTATACATACGCATTTGTATGTTGAAATGTTGAAATTTAAACATTACTATCACATGTTGAAATGTTGAAATTTAAACATTACTATCACATCATATCATATAGACCCGTTATTAAATTGAACTACCCTCTCACCCAGCACATTGAATAATTAAACTAAACATCACCATATAAATTAACCAATAAGGATTACAAATTTCTACCTGTTACATATACATAGTCACCAAAAACAAACAAATAACCAGCTTTAAATATAACATATAAACCCCCATTTTGTTTTTCAAAAATTTAAAAATAAATATAAATAGTAATAATTTGTACCTATCATAATTTTACACAAACCTCACCAAACGCATATACATACATGCGAGAAAATATTTTTCAGCGGGAAAATACATAATATGACATGTATACATTCACGAGACATTAACGAGACATTTCCGCCACACTTCCAATGTTTAAATTTCAACATTTCAACATACAAATGCGTATGTATAGACATAACACCACCCGTATACATACATGTGTCATAGCCAAAACTGCCCACATATGTTTATATATGTATGAGTCCCGACGGACGACCAAGTATGTATATGTGTCTGCATACATCGATGTTTGCGTTAGTACGATGAATGACAAAACGACGAAGTTTCCCCACCACTTCCACAATAACACCAATACACGCAATCTACATAAACCCAAATTTTTAAAACATTAATCAGTTTGTTTGACGATCGCTAAAGCGTGAAACCCAGGGTCACAAACTCACATCTATCCAACTAAAATATATATATATATATATATATATATATATATATATATATATATATATATATATATATAAATTAAATTAATTCGGTTAGGTGATATTAAGTGAAAACTATATTTACAGATTAAAAATTGAAAAGCTTAATAAAAGTTGATTTGCACCAAGATTTATAAAATCTTTTAATTTTTCTTTTTAGTATATGAACATTCCCATTTTCATAACTGTGGATATCTGTCAAGTGTTTTAAGAGTTGTCCTCCCTGAAAAATTTGTCTTTCTGCAATTCTTTCATTACTCATTTCTGTGATTCATCAAGTTTACTTCTCAACAGGCTTTGAAAATCATCCCTTCAAAATTTTAAACTTTAAATTTTAAAGTAATTTTTTTTTAATTCCCATTTCACTAAATATTTGTATTTTATGTGTTTATTTTAGTGTGAGTCATACTTCAATTCAGTAACTTTTTTTCAGTTTTTTTTTAGTTAAGAAAGAACCTCAAGACGATACCCATTATAATTCTACTAAAAAATAATTTTTTTCAACTTCTCATTTTTGATTTTTGTGGCGTTTTGAAATTTTCTTTCAAATCATTTTTACTATAACTCCTATTTCATAAAAAGTAAAGTTAGTAGTTGGTGACTTTATATTATTTTAAGCTTATTCTTTTTGTGAGATTTATTTTGATAAGACTGTGAAGCTATAAAGCTAAAGTTACTAAAATTCAATAAGATGTTAGATAATTACTGAAAATGTTATGTTCATTTTTAAAACTTGCTAGGTAGTTAAAAATCAAAAACAAAGCGTTCACTTAGATTTCGTAAATTTATATCAATTTCTAGTCAGCCATACTTAACTTTTCAACTTGTCAGGCTGTCAATAAATCAATCGACACGGCAGAAAAACAAGACCCCATGCTTAAGAAATGCTTGTATATTACGTTTTATGCCATAAGTAATTAATATTTGTTTCAAACCAGATTAATTTACCTTTAAATTTGCTAATTTTCCTCAAATAACTTGTCTTATATATCTATCTATCTATCTATCCATATATATATATATATATATATATATATATATATATATATATATATATATATATATATACTAGTAATAATATTATAGATATAAAAAATTGTACTCGTCCAGAAAACTTTCGGTGTTTTGATTTGCAAATAATCAAACCAATACCAAAGGGAAAAAAGGTATAAAAAAAGAAAGAACAAAGAACATGTATGTCAGCCGAAAATACGGACGATCCGCGTAGGTGAAACCTTGGTAGGTTTTTCTGGCTCTTTTAGGTTTAATTATATATATATATATATATATATATATATATATATATATATATATATATATATATATATATATATATTGTAGGAATATTCTTAAAACCGAAAATTAATTTTGTTTGCAAATGTATCAAAATGGTTGATATTCATTGATTTTTATCGATTTTCTAAAATCGACTAAAAGTTGAGATTACAAACAATATAATTTCAATTTGAAATACACCGGAGTATTTTGCTTACAGGAAATAGAAAAGTTAATCATTTCAATTAAAGCTAAAAAGAAAACTTCTAGCATGTTTTTTTTATTTAAAAAATTCATTTTAAACCTTAGGTTTCGAAACCACTGCTCATTTTCCTAAAATCCTAACATAAAAAAAAATGCAATAAAACGACGACTGTAATTAGAAAAGATTTTAATTCATTTTATAAATAAGATTTCTTTGGTAACAAAGAAAAGAATACTGATCTGTTACGTGAAATCTTTTCTTCTTTACGAGAGCGTATGTTGGACAATTTCTTCAAAGATGAAGAAGAGACTCGAGGCGACGGAGATGTGGTTCTACAGAAGGATGCTGAGGATATCATAGACCGAGTGTGTGAACAACGATGAGGTCTTAGCGGGGTTGCATACAAGGAGAAAGCTTATACGTAACATCAGAAAGAGGCAGCTGAAGTTTCTGCGACACATAATGAGGAAGGAGAGCCTGGAGAATCTAATACTCACAGGTCGAATAAAGGGAAAGAGAGACAAGGGAAAACAGCGTGTGACATACCTGACGAGCTTGAGCAGTTGGATGACAGAACGTGGTGGTGGGGGGGAAGTAGAGGGAAGGAACTTGCTGAGAGCTGCAAGAGATAGAGGAGGGTAGAGAGCCATGATCGCTCACGTCCTGAAAGGACATGGCACATAAAAAGCAGAGAAAGAAATTGTCTTTAAAAAAAATTCCATGAATACTGAAGGTCCCTAAATAACATTATTAACATTAGAGATGAGCTGAACATATGCTACACTTTGATCCCAGTCCGATGGACATAGACTGAAGAAAAGCGTAACTCGAGTAGCATTGGAAGCTCGGTCAATGAATGCTGAATGTCTCCTTATAAGGAAACAGTTGAGTTTTACAATTACCATATTTATGTGAAAACGTGCTCAAAGTGCGTAAAGGTCGATACAGAGATGGCATCTAGATTGCATTTACGTGTGAAACAGACTGTTGCCATTCAGTTTTGACATTAGTGTCCACCTTTGCGAATATATTGAGTTTTAATGTTATAGATTTAACATATAACAAAAATATTAGCTGCTTCATGGGCAAAGAAAATATCCGAGTTGCCATGTGTGAAATGAAATGTTTTAAATTCTAACTTTTTTTTTCTGTGTTGAAACAATGAGCACATTCCCTAGAAAAGAAAAAAAACGCAACTATCTCGGCTAACAAGTAGTTAACAGATCCTGAACTGTTATTCGAAAATAAAAATATTTGCTGAAATCATTAATGCGCTCATTGACCGAATATGATTGTAGGATGACGAGCCATGTTCATAAATATTGACTCACTATAAAGAATTAGATGAAAGAGTACGCAT